GAGGGAAATAAGTATTTGACCCCCTCTCAATCAGAAAGATTTCTGGCTCCCAGGTGTCTTTTATACAGGTAACGAGCTGAGATTAGGAGCACACTCTTAAAGGGAGTACTCCTAATCTCAGTTTGTTACCTGTATAAAAGACACCTGTCCACAGAAGCAATCAATCAATCAGATTCCAAACTCTCCACCCTGGCCAAGACCAAAGAGCTCTCCAAGGATGTCAGGGACAAGATTGTAGACCTACACAAGGCTGGAATGGGCTACAAGACCATCGCCAAGCAGCTTGGTGAGAAGGTGACAACAGTTGGTGCGATTGTTCGCAAATGGAAGAAACACAAAATAACTGTCAATCTCCCTCGGCCTGGGGCTCCATGCAAGATCTCACCTCGTGGAGTTGCAATGATCATGAGAACGGTGAGGAATCAGCCCAGAACTACACGGGAGGATCTTGTCAATGATCTCAAGGCAGGTAGGACCATAGTCACCAAGAAAACAATTGGTAACACACTACGCCGTGAAGGACTGAAATCCTGCAGCGCCCGCAAGGTCCCCCTGCTCAAGAAAGCACATATACAGGCCTGTCTGAAGTTTGCCAATGAACATCTGAATGATTCAGAGGAGAACTGGGTGAAAGTGTTGTGGTCAGATGAGACCAAAATCGAGCTCTTTGGCATCAACTCAACTCGCCGTGTTTGGAGGAGGAGGAATGCTGCCTATGACCCCAAGAACACCATCCCCACCGTCAAACATGGAGGTGGAAACAATATGCTTTGGGGGTGTTTTTCTGCTAAGGGGACAGGACAACTTCACCGCATCAAAGGGACGATGGACGGGGCCACGTACCGTCAAATCTTGGGTGAGAACTTCCTTCCCTCAGCCAGGTCATTGAAAATGGGTCGTGGATGGGTATTCCAGCATGACAATGACCCAAAACACACGGCAACAAAGGAGTGGCTCAAGAAGAGCACATTAAGGTCCTGGAGTGGCCTAGCCAGTCTCCAGACCTTAATCCCATAGAAAATCTGTGGAGGGAGCTGAAGGTTAGAGTTGCCAAACGTCAGCCTCGAAACCTTAATGACTTGGAGAATATCTGCAAAGAGGAGTGGGACAAAAACCCTCCTGAGATGTGTGCAAACCTGGTGGCCTACTAGCTCAGCTGGTAGAGTACGGCGCTTGTAACGCCAAGGTAGTGGGTTCGATCCCCGGGACCACCCATACACAAAAATGTATGCACGCATGACTGTAAGTCGCTTTGGATAAAAGCGTCTGCTAAATGGCATATTGCAAGAAACGTCTGACCTCTGTGATTGCCAACAAGGGTTTTGCCACCAAGTACTAAGTCATGTTTTGCAGAGGGGTCAAATACTTATTTCCATCATTAAAATGCAAATCAATTCATAACATTTTTGATATGTGTTTTTCTGGATTTTTTTGTTGTTATTCTGTCTCTCACTGTTCAAATAAACCTACCATTCAAATTATAGACTGATCCTTTCTTTGTCACTGGGCAAACTTACAAAATCAGCAGGGGATCAAATACTTTTTTCCCTCACTGTATAGGTTATAGGTTGAGAGCTTTTATGAAAGAGCCCAGTTAGAAAGATGCAAAGAAGCAAACCGGATGGACATCATGAAAATGATCGGAGAGGTTGAGGGTAGAGGAAGTTCAGGAGTAAAAACAAACAAAATATAATTATTGTAAAATTGACTGTGTCCATAAAATGTATATAGTATGTATAAGCTGGAAGTAAAGCTGATCTACCCCCTAAAATTTTTTTATTATAAAAATAAATATCAGATCACGTCAATATGGCTAGTTAACAAGCTAACTTTCAGGGGATAAACTAGATGGCTATATTTGCTTGCCATCTATAGTGGTTATGACAGTAGTCCGACTGACAGCTTTACCAGGATGAGGACTTGCTGATGTCAAGCTCTTTCCAAAAGGTGTAATCTCTGATGAAGGAAGCTAAATGGCACGTTGTTTGCTTAGCTAGCTAGCTAGCTAGCTACATGCCAAATGGATAGGCTACCCTCACGTATCTGAAAATAATTGATCAATTGATGTTTACTGATCATGAAAAGCTTGCAGTTACTTGCTGTATAACTCTAAAAATTGCGATAAATGTGGAATAATCAGAAATGTGTAGTTCTGACTATGCTCTTCAAGAAGTGATGATATTAAAACCAAATAGCTATAACATTTATTTAAAAATCTCTTGACAAAGGCACGCAGTTGTCAATGGTTTTAGCGGAGCTGGTGGTCTCCTTGCCCCCCAGCAGCCAAAACGAACGATCTGCACTGTATTGTGACGTTTTATTGATAACAACCCATCATGGAACCTAACAAGAGGCACATAGGAAATTGGCACATTCCACAAATATCAATATTTTTTTGTCATTTAGCAGATGCTTAGTGCCAGGGTATGGATTCAGAAATCTTCCCCTTCAACATTTGACACAATAGTGTCCAACGCCCACATATTTCATTTGGTAGACCAATCTGTTGCTGCCACAATCCACCTGTGCTGCTTTGAACCTCAAAACCCTTTGTGTCACGCATTCTACACCTTCTAAAGAGGCCCGTTGTTGAGTGGTGGTGGTACATCTTTGTTTTTTCTTACATCTGGCGCTCAGGAACCCTGGATGACGACCCATCCCCCCTTCATTCACTCAAACACATGTGCACACACACACACACATACAAACTCTCTTATTGTTGGTCATCTCCCCTTCCCCGCTTTCCTCTGTCGGTCAGTTTAATTAAAGGATCAGTGCTCTGTCTAATCTCCTCAAAGCCACACCAGGCCCTCTATCCTAATCCAATTATATCTGCACTGTGCGCCACCAGCTCCCTCTCAGATGTGTTATCACAGAATTAGCCAATCAAAGTCTTAAAACCAAGGCTCCATTTGCATTCATTTGCACAATTCAAACACAAATTAACATGTAATTCCTCATTCCTTGTTCCTTCCCCCCAAAAAACAGAGTAAAGCTCAGGAGGAGGACTATGATAAAGAAGACTTGGAGGTGAGCCATGTAATATGATTGTGTGGTATGAATACGGCACTAAGGAAATTTGAAGATCTTATCTGATGTCCTTTCAGTGAAAAGCACTAAATAATTTGTTTTATAAAAAAGAAAGATACGTAAGGTGAGTTCTGACGACTACGCACAACCCTGTTTCACGGTGCCACATCCTCTCTCAAATGCGTCATGAAACCGTCAACAATAACCAAGAAGACCAAAAAACATTAGAAACATGACAGACTGACCAGGTGAATCCAGGTGAAAGCTATGTTTTAAATCACCTGTTAAATCCACTTCAATCAGTGTAGATGAAGGGGAGGAGACAGGTTAAAGAAGGATTTTTAAGCCGTGAGACAACTGAGACATTGATTGTGTACTGTATATGGCAGGCTATGGTGGAAAGATGGCAGGTTAATGGTTATGGGGTCAGTGTTGTTGACAGATACGTTTTTGAGGTTTAGCCTACTTCAGAAACACAGACTCAACAAAAACAGTAACACACAACAAAACTGCTCCTAAGAACACTTCAGTATCTCTCAACAGACATCTTCAGACAGAGAGAGCCATTCAGCAATCCACCTGTCCCAAGCCAAGCCCAATCAACCAGAGATGGGTTATATAGAGATATAATAAGTTCTAACAGGGTGAAAAACAAGATGAGTCTACAAGAAAAAAAAAAAACATCCACCCACTGACAACACTCCTACACTGTAGTCCGTTCTACCAATTAATCCCATGGTGCATCCTGTCCTGTTCCTCACTCTGCAGGATCTGAGGACCCAGGCAAGCAGATGTGTGTGTGTGTGTGTGTGTGTGTGTGTGTGTGTGTGTGTGTGTGTGTGTGTGTGTGTGTGTGTGTGTGTGTGTGTGTGTAGGGGGTCAGATTCAGAGCATGTGCTAATTGGAGGAGCAGGTAAGCTGCAAGGGGAAGCACATTCTTGCAGGGCCCTGAGCCATCTCCTGAGAGCCCATCGTGGCATGTTGGATAGGAAGGGCAGCGACTGTGGCTGCATCACAAATGGCACCCTATTCTCTATACAGTCCCAGCTCTGGTGAAAAGTACTGCACTATATAGGGAATAGGGTGCATTTGGGATGCAGCCTATGTCATCACCCTCTCTCTTTCGCCATGTCTACTTGACACCGACCAACACACAGCAGAATAGTGAGCTGGAGGGATACAGGAGAAGGAGGATGGATTCAGAGGAAAGGAATCAGCCTGTTGTAGACAGGCACACGCGTCTCATTACGACTCAAGCCCCTCTCTGTGGCTGAACAATGACAACGTCAGCTTTTCTTGTGTCGGTAAACGTATTCACCCCTCCAACCCCAAACCAATTCCTCTTCTCTCTAATTGTGCCTATGTCTCAGTCCCACTCCCTTGTCAGTTAGCGTACAATGTTTTGCTCCTGGGCTGAATGAGGAGAAAGGTGAATAAAGGGAAGTAGACACGTTATTAAAAACCCTGACATAAAGTACCACATAAAGGAGTAGAAAGGAGCCGAGGGCTTCCGACCCCACTGTGTGGGCCAATTAGGACGCTAATTAATGGCGTGCTGGTAATGATACTGCAGCGCCGACGGCGGTGGCTTCCATTGACTCCAGCTGAATGCAGCGGCGGCCGAGGCGGTATGGCCGGGGCCTAATTGAGCACCGGGGCTAACGGCAGGAGATTCTTCCTCTAATGAACTGGTTGGCAGGGAGCGCGCTCAGTGTCGCTCAGCCTCGCACCCACATCATTCTCTGAGTAGTGCTAGGTGCTGCTTGCTAAGGAAAGGCCAGTATGAATGAAGACAGCAGACGTTCAGGTTTAGGGGCACAAATAATAAGCCATAGGGAATCATTCAAACAGGATACAGAGCTATATCATTCAGAAAGGTTAATCATCTGGCATTGAGGGTTACAATGAATAGAAACACTGCTGGCAAACACAGTTGCATTCATACATGATGAGGTTGTATGGTGGTTGGTTTACCTTGACAACTTGTCGAACATGTTGACCAGTTTCTGGGCCTCGTACTCTTTCTGCTCCTCAGTCATGTCTTCTATGGGGTTAGGCATGGGCTCCTCCACGTGACCCGTGATGGGGTTGATGCTGAGACAGACAGAGATAGGCAACAGAAAGGAGAGAGAGAAGACTTAATAATGATTGTGATAATGATCCAATGCTTGGCTGTCCTGAATGTTTGGCAAGACGCAGGGCTGTTCAATTCCAGTGCTGGAGGGCCGAAACACTTCTGGTTTTTGTTTCTACCTGGTAGATACAGTGAGGGAAAAAAGTATTTGATCCCCTGCTGATTTTGTATGTTTGCCCACTGACAAAGACATGATCAGTCTATAATTTGAATGGTAGGTTTATTTGAACAGTGAGAGACAGAATAACAACAAATAAATCCAGAAAAACGCATGTCAAAAATGTTATAAATTGATTTGCATTTTAATGAGGGAAATACGTATTTGACCCCTCTGCAAAACATGACTTAGTACTTGGTGGCAAAACCCTTGTTGGCAATCACAGAGGTCAGATGTTTCTTGTAGTTGGCCACCAGGTTTGCACACATCTCAGGAGGGTTTTTGTCCCACTCCTCTTTGCAGATCTTCTCCAAGTCATTAAGGTTTCGAGGCTGACGTTTGGCAACTCGAACCTTCAGCTCCCTCCACAGATTTTCTATGGGATTAAGGTCTGGAGACTGGCTACGCCACTCCAGGACCTTAATGTGCTTCTTCTTGAGCCACTCCTTTGTTGCCTTGGCCGTATGTTTTGGGTCATTGTCATGCTGGAATACCCATCCACGACCCATTTCCAATGCCCTGGCTGAGGGAAGGAGGTTCTCACCCAAGATTTGACAGTACATGGCCCCGTCCATCGTCCCTTTGATGCGGTGAAGTTGTCCTGTCCCCTTAGCAGAAAAACACCCCCAAAGCATTACGTTTCCACCTCCATGTTTGACGGTGAGGATGGTGTTCTTGGGGGTCATAGGCAGCATTCCTCCTCCTCCAAACACGGTGAGTTGAGTTGATGCCAATGAGCTCGATTTTGGTCTCATCTGACCACAACACTTTCACCCAGTTCTCCTCTGAATCATTTAGATGTTCATTGGCAAACTTCAGACGGGCATGTATATGTGCTTTCTTGAGCAAGGGAACCTTGCGGGCGCTGCAGGATTTCAGTCCTTCACGGCGTAGTGTGTTACCAATTGTTTTCTTGGTGACTATGGTCCCAGCTGCCTTGAGATCATTGACAATATCCTCCCGTGTAGTTCTGGGCTGATTCCTCACCGTTCTCATGATCATTGCAACTCCACGAGGTGAGATCTTGCATGGAGCCCCAGGCCAAAGGAGATTGACAGGTCTTTTGTGTTTCTTCCATTTGCGAATAATCGCACCAACTGTTGTCACCTTCTCACCAAGCTGCTTGGCGATGGTCTTGTAGCCCATTCCAGCCTTGTGTAGGTCTACAATATTGTCCCTGACATCCTTGGAGAGCTCTTTGGTCTTGGCAATGGTGGAGAGTTTGGAATCTGATTGATTGATTGCTTCTGTGGACAGGTGTCTTTTATACAGGTAACAAGCTGAGATTAGGAGCACTCCCTTTAAGAGTGTGCTCCTAATCTTAGCTCGTTACCTGTATAAAAGACACATGGGAGCCAGAAATATTTCTGATTGAGAGGGGGTCAAATACTTATTTCCCTCATTAAAATGCAAATCAATTTATACCATTTTTGACATGTGTTTTTCTGGATTTTGTTGTTGTTATTCTGTCTCTCACTGTTGAAATAAACCTACCATTAAAATTATAGACTGATCATTTCTTTGTCAGTGGGCAAACGTACAAAATCAGCAGGGGATCAAATACTTTTTTCCCTCACTGTAATTGCACTCACCTGGTGTCCCAGGTCTATAGAAGGATAGAAGAAGGAGAGGATAAAAAAACCGAAGTGTTTTGGCCCTCCAGGACCGACATTGAACAGCCCTGGCCACTAGAGAGCACCCCTTGGCCCAATGGATTCTGTTGTAGTTAAATAAATGTTGTGGGCACTCCCATGACACACCCTAAAGCCAACCCAACATTCAATCCATACATTTAGTAATTCAAAGCAAGGCATGTGTGTCTATGGTCCTGTATTCAAAGCTCCTGCCTACTCACAAAGGTTTAGCCGATTTGTACTCTTCGGTGTCAGAGTCTTCGTCGTCTGAGTACAGAGTCTCTCCTCTCCCCCCTGCCAGCAGGCCTCGAGCCACCAGGAGTCCTGCTGCGTTACCGTACCCAGTGTACTTCAACAGGTGGTCCACTGGAAGATTAGAGGGGGAGAAATCAGTACAACATGATGGACAACTGTACTGTATGTAGGGATGGGGGTTTGAAATCATTTCACTATTCGAATAGTATCATGAATTTTTGTTGGATATCCGAAATACGTGGTGTTTTAAGATTTTAACCTGAACACTGCTGAGCGAGGGAGAGGCGCTGGAGCTCAATTGCTGCAGCAGCGGAGGGGCCGGTGAGATGGGAGGGAGCAGACGGAGGAAGAGAGAGAGACGCAGTACACAAGGTTTCCACTCGCTTCTATAGCCACAAAGTCAAAATTGGCTAAATATTTGAGCTTTTTGGTCTTAATTTAAGGTTAGGGTTAGATATCAGGTTAGCAGTGTGGTTAGGGTTCAAATTTAAAGCTGCAATATATAACTTTTTGGGTGACCCAACCAAATTCACATACAAATGTGTGTTATCGATCTGTCAGCAAGTCTAAGAAGCGGTAGATCTGTTCTATGTGCGCTATTTCTTTGCCCTCCGTTCTTAAATTTCGTTTTTGCATCTTTTACTTTCGGTTTTGTACACCAGCTTCAAACAGCTGAAAATACAATATTTTTGGTTATGGAACATATACTTCACAGAGGTTTAGATGGTACAATGATTCTCTACACCAGTGTTTCCCAAACTCGGTCCTCGGGACCCCAACGGATGCACGTTTTGGTTCTTGTCCTAGCACTACTCAGCTGATTCAAATTTTACATTTTTACATTTTAGTCATTTAGCAGACGCTCTTATCCAGAGCATAATTTTTTATTTATTTTTTTATTTAAATCATACTGGCCCCCCGTGGAAATCGAACCCACAACCCTGGCGTTGCAAGCGCCATGCTCTACCAACTGAGCTACATGGGGATAATAATCAAATAATCATCAAGTTTTTCATACTTTAATCAGCTGTCTAGTGCTAGGGCAAAAACCAAAACGTGCACCCCTTGTGGTCCCCATGACCGAATTTGGGAAACACTGCTCTACACTATACTTGCTTGTTTTGTCACATAAACTGACATTTTTGCATAGTGCATCTTTCATTTTAACCCATAAGAGTTTAAGCCCTGTCTAAGCCGGGGGGTGGAGGGTTCTATTAAGCTATATGGAATAGTTTTAAAACAGTCATACCAAGGATAATTTTGCTATTTGATTTAGAATTTTAAGACCCCTTGAAGTATCAAAAAAAATATATATAGATATTTTTTTATACATTGTATTTGGCCTTACTGCTATTAGCCCATCAAAACACATTGAATAACATTCACTACATGGAACAACAGATAGTCCCACACAAAAAAATCAAAAGGAAGTTTGTTTTGAAGTGTCTGTCCTACAGTGCATTCGGAAAGTATTCAGACCCCTTGACTTTTTCCACATTTTGTTACCTTACAGCCTTATTCTAAAATTGATTAAATTATTTTTTTCCCTCATCAATCTACACACAATACCCCATAATGACAAAGCGAAAACAGTTTTTTTTTTTGGCCGATAAAAAATAATATTTAAAAAAAATACCGTATTTACATAAGTATTCAGACCCTTTGCTATGACACTTGAAATTAAGCTCAGGTGCATCCTGTTTCAATTGATCATCCTTGAGATGTTTCTACAACTTGATTGGAGTCCACATGTGGTAAATTCAATTGATTGGACATGATTTGGAAAGGTACACACCTGTCTAAATAAGGTCCCACAGTTGAGAGACAGGATTGTGTCGAGGCACAGATCTGGGGAAGAGTACAAAAACATTTCTGCAGCATTGAAGGTCCCCAAGAACACAGTGGCCTCCATCATTCTTAAATGGAATAAGTTTGGAACCACCAAGACTCTTCCTAGAGCTGGCCGCCCGGCCAAACTGAACAATCGGGAGAAGGGCCTTGGTCAGGGAGGTCACCAAGAACCCGATGGTTACTCTGACAGAGCTTCAGAGTTCCTCTGTGGAGATGGGAGAACCTTCCAGAAGGACAACCATCTCTGCAGCACCACACCAATCAGGCCTTTATGGTAGAGTGGCCAGACGGAAGCCACTCCTCAGTATTGGCACATGACAGCCCACTTGGAGTTTGCCAAAAAGCACCTAAAGGACTTTCAGACCATGAGAAACAAGATTCTCTGGTCTGATGAAACCAAGATTGAACTCTTTGGCCTGAATGCCAAGCGTCACGTCTGGAGGAAACCTGGCACCATCGCTACGGTGAAGCATGGTGGTGGCAGCATCATGCTGTGGGGATGTTTTTCAGTGGCAGGGACTGGGAGACTAGTCAGGATCGAAAAAAGATGAACAGAGCAAAGTACAGAGAGATCCTTGATGAAAACCTGCTCCAGACCGCTCAGGATCTCAGACTGGGGCGAAGGGTCACCTTCCAACAGGACAACAACCCTAAGCACACAGCCAAGACAACGCAGGAGTGGCTTCGGGACAAGTCTCTGAATGTCCTTGTGTGGCCCTGCCAGAGCCCGGACTTGAATCCGATTGAACATCTCTGGAGAGACCTGAAAATAGGTGTGCAGCAACGCTCCCCATCCAACCTGACAGAGCTTGAGAGGATCTGCAGAGAAGAATGGGAGAAACTCCCCAAATACAGGTGTGCCAAGCTTGTAGCGTCATACCCAGGAAGACTCAAGGCTGTAATCGCTGCCAAAGGTGCTTCAACAAAGTACTGAGTAAATGGTCTGAATACTTATGTAAATGTGATATTTCCATTTTTTCTTTTTAATACATTTGCAATCATTTCTAAAAACCTGTTTTTGCTTTGTCATTATAGGATATTGTGTGTAGATTGAGGGGATAAAACATTATTTATTTTTTGATTAAGGCTGTAATGTAACAAAATGTGGAAAAAGTCAAGGGGTCTGAATACTTCCCGCAATGCACTGTATATCTGAGAGATATAAGAAAGATTAGGAAACATTAGTTATTATTATTTCTTTACATGTATTTAACCCCTTATTATTGGCACTAAACAATCTCCATATATACTTCCATTAATTTTTTCAACTGGTACCAGGGGACCTTCAGACGAGTCTTGTGAGGCCTGTAGGCGTCCTAGAGCATAACAACCGACATGTACGTGTTGTCTCACCTTTCCATAGAGGGGTCATAATAGTTTTGTAGGCCAAACCGTTCGGACCCTACAGACAATTTTGTGAGATGTCTCACGGTCTGACAAACACAGCTCTAGCTCTAGCTCTACATTTCACTGCAGATGTGGAAGTGCGACATAGGCGGATGCGCTGCAAAAAAACATATCTCTAGCTTAAACTGACAGATTTGTATGGGGATTTTTATTATTATGCTAATTCTATTTACACGGGGCGCGGACATCGACCTTAGGGGGTGAAGAAGATAATTTTCGGAAATGGGCGGGGTTTATGACTGTGGCTATTGAAGCTGTGACGACCAGTACCCAAGACAACTCGGCTACAGCCAAGACTAGCTAACTTGTAGCAGCCACATGTTATTTATTATACCCTATAACAGTGCCTGTCTTGACTGGAGTAGCCTAGAGAAGCTAGCTAGCTAGGATAATTGAGGCCACATGCTGCGCTTTCTTCCCACCCCCATTCAGTTAAAACAACAGCCAAATTGTTGGTTGCTTGTTGTAGCCTACTCCTTCTCATTTTCGCTAACTTTTAATTCCGTTATTTTATTCCCTCTTGCATTGCATTAAGTGAACTGTCACTCCACTTGCTACACATTGAGCCTCTTTGCCACTTTGATTGGCCCAACATATACAACAAGCTACACATTTACGGTGCGCACGTCATAAAAACTACATTGAAAAGTCTGTCGTTTTCTTAAATTATAATTTCAAAAGTCATTGTATATCCTTGTATGTAACAATGTCACATGAATATTTTAATTTAGAAAAGCCTTTTCAGTGTTAAAAATAGGCCAATCATTCTGCAAAAATGAATACTCAAACAAGTATTCGAATACTAACCGTTCAGATATTTGAATAACAGTGCACATCCCTATCATACAGCCTGCTCCATCTCGCTCTCTCACCACTCTCTTTGCAGAGGACGAAGAGGAACTCTGCGGCGCTTTGCTTCACGCCCATGTCCACGTGGGTCATGAGGCGCACCAGTTTGTTCCTAACGGTGGACCCTATCTCCGGCCGGACCTTGACCTCCTTCAGCGGGGGCAGCACCTGGAGACACACACAGCCAACAAGGGCAGAGCCTCAATGAAAACTAACACTGTAGTACACTAGACTAGTGAACTGAGTGATCAGGCCAGCGAATGACCCATCTGCCACTGCTGGAGGATATGATAGAAGAAATGTAATCTGGACAGATAGAAGTTATGTTGTAAGATATGTGATCTAAATACACTTGAAAAAATATATAAACGCATTATGCAACAATTTCTACGAATTTGCTGAGTTACAGTTCATTTAAGGAAATCAGTTAATTGAAATAAATTAATTAGGCCCTAATCTATGGATTTCACATGACTGGGAATACAGATATGCATCTGTTGGTCATAGCTAGCTTTTTTTTTTTAAAGGTAGGGACGTGGATCAGAAAACCAGTCAGTATCTGGCGTGACCACCATTTGCCTCATGAAGCGCAACACATTTCCTTCGCATAGAGTTGATCAGGCTGTTGATTGTGGCCTGTGGAATGTCGTCACATTTCTCTTCAATGGCTGTGCAAAATTGCTGGATATTGGCGGGAACTGGAACACGATGTCATACACGTCGTTCCAGAGCATCCCAAACATGCTCAATGGGTGACATGTCTGATGAGTATGCAGGCCATGGAATAACTGGGACATTTTCAGCTTCCAGGAATTGTGTACAGATCCTTACGACATGGGGCTATGCATTATCATGCTGAAATACTGTATGAGGTGATGGCGGTGGATGAATGGCACAACAATGGGCCTCAAGATCTTGTATCGCTGTTCATTGAAATTGCCATCGATAAAATGCAATTGTGTTTGTTGTCCGTAGCTTTTGCCTGCCCATACCATAACCGCACCACCACCATGGAGCACTCTGTTCACAACATTGACATCAGCAAACCGCTGTCCCACACAACACCATACACACTGTCTGCCATCTGCCCGGTACAGTTGAAACTGGGATTCATCCATGAAGTGCACAATTCTCCAGCATGCCAGTGGCCATCGAAGGTGAGCATTTGCGCACTGAAGTCGGTTATGACGCCAAACTGCAGTTAGGTCAAGACCCTGGTGAGGACGACGAGCACGCAGCTTCCCTGAGACAGTTTCTGACAGTTTGTGCAGAAATTCTTCGGTTGTGCAAACCCACAGTTTCATCAGCTGTCTGGGTGGCTGGTCTCAGACGATCCCGCAGGTGAAGAAGCCGGATGTGGAGGTTCTGGCCTGGAGTGGTTACATGTGGTCTGCGGTTGTGAGGCCGGTTGGACGTACTGCCAAATTCTCTAAAACAACGTTGGAGGTGGCTTATGGTAGAGAAATGAACATTACATTATCTGGCAACAGCTCTGGTGGACATTCCTGCAGTCACCATGCCAATTGCACGCTCCCTCAACTTGAGACATCTGTGGCATTGTGTTGTGTGACAAAACTACACATTTTAGAGTGGCCTTTTATTGTCCCTAGCACAAGGTGCACCTGTGTAATGATCATGCTGTTTAATCAGCTTCTTGATATGCCACACCTGTCAGGTGGATGGATTATCTTGGCATAGGAGAAATGCTCACTAACAGGGATGTAAACATATTTGTGCAAAACATCTGAGAGAAATAAGCTTTTTGTGTGTATGGAACATTTCTGGGATCTTTTATTTCAGCTCATGAAACATGGGACCAACACTTTACATGTTGCGTTTATATTTTTGTTCAGTATATATGCATTTCATATGCATTTCACACTGAAGAAGTAGTTTCACTAGTTTTGAAGATCTTAATTTTGCATCACTTTTTATGTATAAGGATAGGATAGATTAGAACATGCCCATAAAGTGTGTGTTCAAGCTCAAGGCCCCGCTAGCTCCAGTGCCCTACCTGTGTCTTGATGTATCTGCGGATCTCCCTGTGGTACCTGGAGCCCTCGGTCAGCAGGCTGAGCACTGGGGTCAGCCCCTCTTTGTAGTTGGCACCCTGCTTGGAATGAGACACACATGAGGCAAGTGACGCTGTAGCAGTTGGTGTGTGGACCATTAGTAATATAACTATTCAGGAATTTATTACATTTACATTTTAGTCATTTAGCAGACGTTCTTATCCAGAGCGACTTACAGTTAGTGAGTGCATACATGTTTTTTGTTTTTTTTCATATTACTAATTCACTTTCTATGTTGTGTGGACAGCTTCTAATAGGATGGCCAGGATTTCCGCATCATTTCATTGGCTTGTTCAGTAGACTGCAAAAGTCTTGTGGTGGCAGCCACCAAGATGAGGCAATCAGTTTGAAGAAAGGAGCAGAATCAGCAAGGCTTGGTTTGTAGATAAGTGATTCTGTGCAGTCCGATATCGCACACACACAAAATGGGGCGAATCCAAACTTCCACTGAAGTCAAATTTTCAATTACACGTCCATTAATGTCAGTGAGAGACATTTACATTTTGGTCATTTAGCAGACGCTATTTTCCAGAGCGACTTACAGGAGCAATTTTGGTTAAGTGCCTTGCACAAGGGCACATTGACAGATTTGTTCCTCGTCAGCTCGGGGATTCGAAACCAGCGAACTTTCGGTTACTGGCCCAATGCACTTAACCGCTAGGCTACCTGCCGCCTCAGTGAAAATGTAAGTGACTTTAAGTGAACATTTGACTTAAGTGGAAGGATTCGCCCCAATGTCACTGGTTCACCCGTTCTTACCTTGTCTATCCTCTTCTCCATGAAGTCCAGTAGCACCTGCACAGCGTCCATGTTCTTCCCGCTGTACTCCTCCTGGCCCCCCTGGACCGGCATGTCAATCAGCACATCCAGACATGACACTGGCAGGTTACTCAGCAGGTTGACGGCGTGGCTGGAGGAGAAGAAGGAAGACATGAGGAAAAAGGAGGAGGAGGAAGGACAGTGGTTAAGTCATTGGTTATAGCATGTAGGAAGGATTAACAAATGATACATGTGGTTTCGTTCTTAAGAATAGGCTACATGCATGTCATTGTTTTCTACCGATCATTAAACTTTTTGAAGACTACTTGTTTGTTACAAGCATTTCCGTCTAGCATGAAGACACGTTGGGTAGTTATACCTTCTTATAGTTGTTGTGTTTGTGTCAAGACCACAGGGCATTCAATAAGTCTAAACAGACAAGGACTAAAGGTCTACTTTGGAGTCTGGACAATGGGCTAAACCCCTGTGATCAGAGGGACACAACAACATAATCCATAGGACCACAGGGAGTATTATCAATCACTTTTACATGACACTCCTTCAGTGCCACCATCTAGCCAAACATTCTTTACATTCCCTCATGTCCTTCTAAAAACAACGTTGTTGTTAATTCCCATCAACGAGATGTCCGGAAAATACATACTGCCAAATGACTTCTAAAAACAGTCTTGGCTTAAAGTTTTAACTTTCTCATAAACTGGATGCTGTCACTGTTGACTACAGAGAGTAATCATTGGATGGTGATTAATTTGCACAAACCAAATGATGAATGTGTACTTTAAGGATGCAGTTTTTCCCTGTTATGTGGAGAGCAGCGAGGAGAAGGGTTGCCAACCTGTGTGCTTCCTCTGTTTTGTCCTCTGTCTGAGTCTTTAGCATCAATTGATGGCGCATGATGGCGGTGATGAGGCGGAGCTGGTGGTCACCATCCTATCAAATGAAGGATGTACAACAGCGTGATCCTTAAGGAAGCATTTCATTGGTTCAAACAAAAGGAGGGGAGGAACTGAGCAGGTAGGGGTAAGCAGGATATAATTAGCTGTGGAAGAAGCGGAAAGGGGAGGCAGTCATGTCAAAAAGAAAACATAGGACGACAGCTCATAACCCCTATCATTTAGATAACATTTATAATTCCAATGCTGGGGTAAAATGTAAAAAAAATAAAGGCATGAACAGAGAGAGCGAGAGAAAGGGAGGGACTGTAACTATGGAGATTGTGGAAAGATGAGAGGAATTAAGGATTTCCGGATTTCGGATTTCCAAAACCTGGTAGTCAGACCTAAGAGCTGCGAGTCACTGAGCACACAGGCTTTCCATTCCATGCAAATGACCATGTGGGATTGACTCATGAGATGAACACAGGGCTTTTCTGACCAACGCCACAGATTATTAATTATATTGACCAGATACTCAAGTGGCCGCTCTGACAATGAAAATAAATGGAAGGTAGTTGGGAGGAGGCAAGACCAGGTGGGACCATTCTAGCCAATGAGAGGGCAGATACGCCTGTGAACAACAGGCACAAATCCAATAGTGTTTTTTCTCAATGTTGCTGGGATGTCACATGTTCCTACTTATATCAGTACACTCGTAACAACCTAAGCATTACAAAACGTATATTCGATTAATAAGTCACACGTAGCAAATAAGCCATAAATTTTTTTGTTAATCAAATTCGACACATTTACCTCCATACAAAAACTCGCTTGTTGAGAAAAAAAAAAAACGCCACCTGCTGCAGAACACAGATTTTGGTCCCAGTTTTCCCTCTAGCTTCGCCTTTTCCTCTCTGTCAACGCTGGGATGGGAGGGACTCAACAAGATGTCAGCTACAATGGTGAGAGGCAAGGGTGATCAGCCCCGATCATGAAAATCCACAATCTCACAACCAACATGGAGAAAAACATATTTGGACCAATAGCACTTTGAGGCACAATACGAGCCAGCAGTTAAAGCAGGCAGCTCTCCTGACCAGCCTGAATTAGAGAACGCTTCGCAAATGTATAAATATCAATGACACTTTTTGCATGTCAAATTATCACAGACAGACATTCAGTAACGGATCCGACAGATTCATATCTACGATTTAGCAGCGGGATGTGCCCCTCTGCTTCATGATGTGATGCTGTGACACTATAGGCTGAGCGAGCATTGAGGGGGGTGAGTGACATACGATTATTTCACAAACTCCCCCTGGCTAATCAAGAAAGCTGTAAAGGTGCCAAAGGGGCTTAAACGAGGTCAGATAGCTGATAAACCTCTTATTGCTGTGCAGGCTTAGTTAGGGCTTTCTATTAAGGGATGTCACTCAATAAAGCCAAGTGTCTTGCTGTTACTCTATCTTTAAATAACAGCCTTCAACCAAAGCATGCAAAGTTTGGTGGCTTCAATGCTGAATTCTAAATACTAAATATGCAAGGAGATGTGTCCATCCACAGCCAGTGAGATGCAAAGCATTTATGTTCATGCAGTAACTCTAAACACATGCACTGTGCTCATGACTGCAGTGTCTAGCCTTCTGTGAGCTCTGAATAATATAATAATAATAATAGCCATTTAGCAGACACTTTTATCCAAAGTGTCATGTGTGCATAGCTTTATGTATGGGTGGCCCTGGGAATCGAACCCACAACCCTGGCGGTGCAAGCGCCATGCTCTACCAACTGAGCCATACAGGACCATGTGAATGCCATATTACAAGTACAGTGTACATATCCTCTTTAAAAAGGAAAACATTCTGTAACAGACAGTGGGTGTAACTCACCTCATCGCTGGTGTCAGACAGTGTGAGGTTGAACAAGGCTTTCAGGGCCTCCATGGCCCTCTCGTTGTCTTCAGCAGGGATAGGCAAGGCCTGGGGGCCTGGAGGGGCCGCCTCGTAGGGGCCCACCCAGCGTACGTCCAGGGTACGCTCCAGCACCTCTGTGAGGAGCCCCACGGCATGCAGCTCCCTCTGGAGGCCCCCCCGGACGTCTGGCCGCAGTGCCGAGAGCAGGAAGAGCAGGCGCAGGGAGAACAGGCCCACCTCGTGGTGCCCGGCACGGGCGGCGTGCAGGCGGGCACACAGACCCCGCGCCAGCTGCACGTCGGCGCCCACCTGCTGTGCCGCCGCGCTGTTAAACACCACGTTACACAGGCACTTAAGGGCCTCCACCACCACCCTCTCTTCCTCCTCTGTCTGGGCCTCCTCCTGCATGCTGTCACCCCCCTCCTCTCCCCCTTGCAGCCGAGCCAGCTCGGCCAGGACCAGCATGCCCTCCCGGGTGCCCACAGGGCCCAGGACCCGCTTGTCCCGGGACAGGATGCGAAGGGTCTCCAGGCAGGTGCTCTGGCAGCAGGACCCAACCTGCCTCCCCAGCACAGTCAGCAGACCCTGACACAGCCTCTGCAAAGGGAGAGAAGGTTGGTTCATCATCAAACACACAGGGGGCAGAAGCATTATCTAGGCTATAAGTGAAAGTGAAGCATCTGACAAGGCAGAGTGTTTACTGTTTACTTACACTTCGTAGGTCCTCCTCTTTTGGGTCAAAGGTGAATGTGCGACTATTCTGAAAAAGATGGTGTACATTAGTCTGGCTGACACCAAACTCAGTCTTCCTGGCAGTTCTCCCTCGCTGTGTACCATGTGAGTTACGTCAACAAGGCTAAATACACATAGCCTAATGAGAGAAAAGGCAAATGCATATGCTAAATGTGCTTTGTCACCTTCTGTGCAATAGTGCATGAATAAAATATAATATAATTTAGCAGACGCTTTTATCCAAAGCGACTTACAGTCATGTGTGCATACAATTTTACGTATGGGTGGTCCCGAACCCACTACGCTGGCGTTACAAGCGCCATGCTCTACCAATTGAGCTACAGAGGACCACATATTCTCAGTAATGTTTCTAAGATAAAGTAAATAGCTTCTGCAGACAGAGCAGAACCATGAGTGCATTAGCTAGGATATTCGAGTGTAATGCAAAGTCTACCGCCATCAGGCTCTCTGTCTGGTTATCAGTGACAGCGGCTAACAACGTTAGCTAGCAAACTTACCTAGTTAGCTAGCTCAAGTTACAGCAGGAAGTGCTGTAATAGCTATCACTAAATGGGAGCTAACTAGAAAATTGAATTATATACGCATGCTGTCATTGCATGCATAGCTAGCTACAGTACATGATTACAAAGAGATACCATACAATATTTGGACACAACACTAGCTAACGTTAGCTAGCAACCAAGCTAGCCAGGACGAAAACATGCTTCCTGGAACACAGCAATAGGCTTTAAACTCGTTGATTCCTTGCAAAAATGAGAGGGGAAATGCAAGTTCTAGACATATAGTTTTAGTATTCATTTTAGCAGCTATGCTTGTGTAAACGTTTTTAGATGGCTGGCTAGCTAGCTAGCTAATAACTTTGTTTTGGTTGACGTCAAAGCGATGAGAATCCCACCCACCTCTCCGTTGTACTGGTGCAAAAGCCTTGTAATTTCATCTTCATTGTTTGTCTCGAGCTGAGACAGGATACTGTTTAAATCCATTCTTAAAATATTTCGATGACAATTCAAGAATTGTAACGTTAGAGTACGTTTCTGAATAATGTGCAGCCCCCTATTTTTTTGTATTCGTCTGACATACAGTACACAGCTGGCTCCGGCTACATACACCGTTCTTCCTTGTTTCAACTTTCACCAGTCAACGTCACGATCTCATCGAAACCGTGGGAGCATACAAGGTCCGTGATCTGCCTATAGTCCCCCACTGTGGACTCGTCATAATACCCATAAAACCTAGCAGTCAAACACAGAAATGGTTCCAATTGTCTTTCCACCATTCATTTTTCACATAATGAATTTTACAAATACCTCAAATTAAGTTTATGTTTGGTGTAGACTTACCTTGGCAGTACGTTTTGATAACCGTGTAATTCTCTCTCGACAAGGTGAGTCTTATCAATATATTAGCCTCAATTTACTCTCAAAAAGGCAAAATGCTAATTAGCAACAGAGAAGACCTCAGCAAGACTACAAATTCCATCAGGAAGCTCCTGAACTTCATCTCTAGCAAGACTACAAATTCCAGCAAGAAGCTCCTGCACTTTTTTTATTTAACCTTTATTTAACTAGGCAAGTCAGTTAAGAACAAATTCTTATTTACAATGAAGGCCTACCAAAAGGCAAAAGGCCTCCTTGCGGGGACGGGGATAAAATAAAATAAGATAAAACACACATCACGACAAGAGAGACACCAAAACACTACATAAAGAGAGACCTAAGACAACAACACAGCATGGCAGCAACACCACATGGCAACACAACATGGCAGCAGCACAACATGGTAGCAGCACAAAACATGGTACAAACATTATTGGGCACAGGCAACAGCACAAAGGCAAGAAGGTAGAGGCAACAATACATCACGCAAAGCAGCCACAACTGTCAGTAAGAGTGTCCATGATTGAGTCTTTGAATGAAGAGATGGAGATAAAACTGTCCAGTTTTACTGTGTTTTGCAGCTCGTTCCAGTCGCTAGCTGCAGCGAACTGAAAAGAGGAGCGACCCAGGGATGTGTGTGCTTTGGGGACCTTTAACAGAATGTGACTGGCAGAATGGGTGTTGTATGTGGAGGATGAGGGCTGCAGTAGGCATTTCAGATAGGGGGGAGTGAGGCCTAAGAGGGTTTTATAAATAAGCATCAACCAGTGGGTCTTGCGACGGGTATACAGAGATGACCAGTTTACAGAGGAGGATAGAGTGCAGTGATGTGTCCTATAAGGAGCATTGTTGGCAAATCTGATGGCCGAATGGTAAAGAACATCTAGCCGTTCGAGAGCACCCTTACCTGCCGATCTATAAATTACGTCTCTAATCTAGCATCGGTAGGATAGTCATCTGAATCAGGGTTAGTTTGGCAGCTGGGGTGAAAGAGGAGCGATTACAATAGAGGAAACCAAGTCTATATTTAACCTTAGCCTGCAGCTTTGATATGTGCTGAGAGAAGGACAGTGTACCTACCTCAAGCTCTAAACCCTCAGAGGTAGTAATCACACCGGTGGGGAGAGAGGCATTCTTCTTACCAAACCACATTACCTTTGTTTTGGAGGTGTTCAGAACAAGGTTAAGGGCAGAGAAAGCTTGTTGGACACATCTCTAGCTGACACTGTCAGCTACCGTTCACCAGCGCGATCAGAGACCTATTCAGTCAGTTAAATTAAATATTGTCAGTTTATCATTCCACTTAAACTGGCACTGGATCAGCGTTCTCGTCATGCCTCCTGGCAGTACCTGTTTTCAGGGAAGCCAATGGTCCAAAAATACTCCACATAGTTCGTACACACACACACTAGGCTCCCAGAATAGGTTATATTACATACAAGTTTTGCTCAAAGCAGCCAACTAAAGTAATGTAGTTAACTTTATCATGGGCACAGTGGGAATTTATATATGTGATGTTCAAATCATTTCTTACCCCTTACTTGCTGAAGGCCCCAGTCATCCCTACCTGTACTTGACATTGTTGAAAAATAAGTGAACAATGCATAAAGATCATACACAAACAATAGGCTCCTAGAATAGGTTATATTACATAAAAGTTTTGCTCAAAGCAGCCAACTAAAGTTATGTAATTCATTTCTGCACAGTATGTTAGTTTGTCAGCTAACTAGCCAGACAGTTAAAGTGGAATGATTAACTGACAATATTTAAATTTAACGGACAATATTTCAAATTAACTGCCAACATCAAAGCAAAGGGCTACCTGCCATCCCGGCATCTGGCATCATCCCTCATGCCTGGAACTTCAAAGTTTCCATTAAACTCCAAATAAGAAGTTTGTAGAGTTGGATAGGACACACCCTACGAAAATCATCTGGACTGCTTAACTAGAGAGACAGAGAGAGAGAGAGAGAGTGCATCTAAGGATAGCCATCACTTCCAGCAGATCTCCTTGCTGAGGGTGGCGTCGATCATGCACTGCTTCTCGTGGGGTGAGCCTGATGTTCCACATGTCACGCCTCATGTCTAAAACATGGGTTAAAATTGTATCATATCTGATGAGTTACTGACCTGCCCGTCCACAGGCTCCATGTGCTGTAGTCTCCACAACTGGATGCTTGTGCTCAGATCACACTGGCACAGGATGTCCATTTCAATGCTGTATCACCATCTTTATCTGGACAGAAAATGCATTGTTTATCATAACACAAACACACCTTGGACAATGTGGCAAGTGGTCCCTCAACACCCAATCTTAAGTCATGTTAACCTTACACAAACATGACAAACAGACTGTTCAGATATATCTACAAATTCATTGTTGTACATAACATTATATCACATTTGATGAGTTACTGACCTGTCTGTCCACACGCTCAATCTGCTGTAGTCTCCACAACGATGCTTGTGCTCAGATAACACTGGCACAGGATGTCCATGCACCGGATGGCCTGAGGGATGCACTCCTGTTGGACTGGAAAGCAAAGAGACATTTGGTCAGTGGTGTTTAAAATAATGCTGTATCAACATCTTTATCTGGACAGAAAATTCATTGTTTATCATAACACAAAACCACCTTGGGCAATGTGACAAGTGGCCCCTCAACACCCAATCCTCATGCCTCATTGTTTGTTCTTGTTTCCCAATCAACGGCTACTTCTCTGATGAGTGGGTCTTGGAGGTTTACAAGTGCACAGCAAGTCTGCACCCGCACATTACTATAACAACGCTTATAAATGGAGGAATGTTCACAGTGACTCCTGCAGGCATCAAGCTCTGGATAAAGAAGCATTTGTCTGCCAAAATCATGTATCCAAACGTGATCTTCTCAAACTTCAACTTCTGGACAATGGCTTTCTCCGGCACAGATCCTGGATACAGATCGCTGCAGTATGTTATCACCGCATTAGGTGCAACTCTGGGGGGTAGCTTGAAGGAGTGCATTGAACGATACATAGAGTAGGTTTGCTTCTGCAGATCCATCTGACTTGGAGTAGCAACTTCTATGTCAGTACAGTCAATGACCATCCTGCAGTTTCTGCTGGACCCCTGAAAAGATCACGTGAATGAAAGTGATGCTAACATTTCTTACAGTGCTTGCACTATAATGCAATAGTTGAGCCAGGTGCAAGTTGGTGTAGCTGTGATGCAACTTCATAAGTGCCATAAACACTTTATCCTCAAATGACAGCACCTCGACCCTCCACTTGGTAAAGTAAGCAACGCAGTCCTTGTAACGTTCCAAGTATTCAATAACGATGATGAACATGTCTTTTTCTGGAAGTCCTGTTTCCATCCTAAGTACTTTATCAGACAGCTGCGATGCTGAATATCTGTTGCGGGTATACAGCTGATTCTCCTGTAGAACCCACAACTGTGCTAATGTTTCCTCAAGATGCACCTCAGTGAGAACATTCTGCAACTGTGCAGACAGCAGCCTCCTACATTCTTCAGCTTCCGAGGGGCCTGGTACTTCATCGCCTGCCATGGTGGATGTGTCTGGATCTTCTTCTTCTGCCATGGTGGATGAGCTACCTTTTCTGGTAAATAGAAGGCCATTTATTTTCCCAACAGAAAATGGCAGCTGCAGATCCGAGTGTTGTCACTGGGTTTCCAGTCCGCCCGCCTGAAAGACAAAAAAAATTGTTAATTTTACTAGCTAGCTAGATTGATTACTAAAATGGTAAGATCTATATTTAAATACCATAACCTACAGACTTGACTATAGTAACAGTAAAAATGACTGGGCTTTGGTCTATCTGCTCATCTAAAACCCTACTATGTGGATGGGACATTTCTGCTGGGATGGAGGATTTATCTGGAATGCTCAACTAGGTGATCAGGACAGTCTAGGGTACTATTTGCCTGAAGAGGTGAAGTATTGCGATAAGCTATATGACTGTACTTATGATTCTAATTCTCAAGAGGAACGTTAAAAACCTCAGCCGTGAGGTCACTGAAGAGGACCAACAGTGGTAGGGGGATCGTCTGAAAGGGACTGACATGCAGGGATGGAACATAAGGATTTTGGGCACTTGCCAGCAGACCACGATTTCTGCTTGCCCGAGTAACATTCAGGTCTTAAATCTGTGGCATGCTGTGTAAGGCTAGTTTGGCACATTTTCTACCAGCCATTTCACTGCTATGTCAGGCTAATTTGGCACATTGTCTACTAGCCCAGTCTGAGAAATACTAGCCTCTGGCTAGCTTAATTTCCATCCCTGCTGACATGTCTAGCTGACTTCACAGGTCATTTGATGCACTTGTGAAACAAAACCATTTCTGTGTTTTGTATGGGGAAAACATTGAGCTCAAAAGTTGTTTGTGCGCTAGCTAGCTAATGTAGCTAACTAGCCAACCAAGGTGCCTAACTAGCTATCGCACCAGGCAATATTTAGCTAGCTAGCTAGTTAACATTAGCTCACAGTTCGTGTAGTCAGACTTTTCTAAGTGGTGACATGCTAGCTAACCAACTATCCTAGCCATGGTGCCGGCCTAACGTTAGCTAGCAAGTCTGACTACACGAACGGTGAGTTAACGTTAACTAA